ACTCAGGAGTTTTCTTTAAACTATTCTCCGTAGAAATTTGTCTCTTATAGGCCATTGGACAATTGTCAGGTAATGAGGGTATATTTCCATCCTCTAAGTTCCAGACTAAAGGAACTTCCACTGATCCATTTGGGAGAATTTTCATTTCATTCTCGAGCAATTTAATTGCTTCTTTTTCATTTTTTGTGTAGTGTTTATGATGAGGTTTTATTCCTAGATTCTCTATGGAACAAGAAAATGAATAGATCCTTTCCAACTCATCATTAGACTCTCCAATGTCATTTGTACTAGCTACACCTTTGACTTGATTAGAATTTAAGGAATACGATGATTGAAACTTCTCGATCGCGCCTCCATATATTGTGTAACCTAACTTGCACTTCATAGCAACAGGTTTATTATTTCCATCCTCAATAACCGGTTCAATTGCTTCAAATAGATAAGCATGTGTTGATCCTAGCAATATTGAAGGTATCGCTTCTTTATACGACTCAAATGGAATTTTCTTTAAGTACGGGAACTGCTTCTTTAAAGCTTCAACATTTAGTGTACGTGGTGGAAGATTTAAGTCATGCACTGCATAACATTCATCAATTTCATTTACTTCCTTCTTGTTTGTGCCTGATATTTTCAGTTTCACTTTCCAAGCATCCACGATTTTAATATTTGCATCCGTCCATTGCAATTCAATCGCACATTTATCTCCAACTATTCCGATATCATCAATTAAACTCTTCTTTACTAAAGAGATTTCCGCTGCTGAATCACCCATAGCATATCCTAAAGCATGTAAGGATTTTCCATAAAAATTTGTCTTGAACAATTTAATAGTTCTATGCGAACTTTCATCATTTTGGTAAGCAATTGGTGATGTAATAAAAGTTTGATAAGGCTTGCTCTCATCATCACAATTTATCGGTGGTTGAATTGGATATCCTTTGACAACTTGTTGCTGTAATGGACCTTCATTTGATATAGCAACTGCTACTATCGTTTGTGCTTGTGCAGCTGGTGGTGCATTATTTTCAGCTTGTTGATTTTCTTGATTTCGTTCGTGATCATTCACTTTCGCATTTGCCCTTGCAGCATTGCTATTCGTGTTGGACCTCCTGTTCTGCCTTTTGTAGGACTTGTTATAATTTGGATAATTTGATCCATATCCACGATGAAGTGTTACATGATGTTTTCCTGTACATCTCGTATTTTTGTCAACTTTGAATCCACAGCTATTCTTGATATCACAATCCTTTGCTTGGTGACTCGTTGTAAGTAAACAGTTGATGCAAATATTCTTTGACTTTACTGCATTATATTTTGCATCCATCTTCATGTCTCGGTAAGCCTTGCACTCGACCGAGTAATGATTTGTTTTTGAACAAATTTCGCAACGTTTAGGTATTTGCTTTACCTTCTCCAAATCATATCCTAAATATCGAGCTGACTCTTTGTCCTTTATCTCATATTTATAACTGTCGTTATAATTTGTTGATGGATATTTAGGTGCATTATTGGTAGTGGATGTTGTAAAGACTTGATAATTGCTGCCTTTATTCTTCACTTTGTTTTCCTCCGTAGGTTTAAAACTTCCCAACGGTAGCGTTTTCGACAGACTATTTAAAAACTCGAACTGTATATCCAATCTCTCCATTCTTGTTGTTGCGTTTGGTAATTTCTTAAAATAGAAATCATAATACATTTGCTGATGGTACGGTTCCAATTGACTATGTATTTTTGATGAAATACTAGAGTCCGTAATTAAAATTCCAGCATAAGAACATGCTGCCATATAACTTGCTATATATGTGGTTACTTCCACACACGAAGAATGCGTGAGTGGCTTTGAAAGTTTTGCATTCATCAACTTTAATTTAGCACTTTCAACTACAATATTGGAATTTCCAAAACTTTCCTTTAATGCCAACATAATCTTTTCCGCTGATAATAATGGGAAAAGTGAATCAATCCTCGCTAATGCCAAGCCTGTCAATGCGTTTCGTATTTGATTTCGCATTTCGTTGCTAGTGAATTCACCTTCTTTCCAATTCCTTTCAACAGCTCGTTGAAAAGTCAGCCATTTCTCTGGACTTCCATCAAACTTCTCTATCTTGGGAAGATTGCGTCTCAATTCACTAATTGTTAATTTGCTGAGATGACGTAATGTATTATCAACCATATTATCTGTTGACTCAGCTTTCTTTACTTCCTTTTCATCTGACTTCATTGGTGTGTCAGCATTTTCATCGTTGTTTCCGATCATTAAATTAATAGCTGCTTGCGATTGTTGCAACTCTTCATTGATTCGAGTAGACGTTGCATTTGCAGTCAATATTGCGTCCGTGTAAGAGGTTTCTTGCAAACCTATTAACGGGCTGACTGCAATTGATGACTTTACTTCATGCTTCTCTTCAATTCCATTAATGCTGGACTGATTTGCCAATATTTGAGTCATCAATTTTGTATTTTCCATCAATTGTTGTTGCAGCTTTTTGTTTTCTTCTCGCATTTTGCTAAGTTCTGTCAAGAACTCCTTTGGAATTATATTTCCTTTCTTATCTACGTGAACAGAACCATCAATCTTATTGTCCTCTGTTTCTGATTCAGAACTAGAACTAGTTTCTTTGATGAAGTATTTGATACGTTCATCAAATGATAATAGATGCTTTCCAGAAATTACTAAATTCTGCGCTGCGCTGTTTAACGAGTTGGTTCTGCATGTACTGCATGTCCATGGTAGTTGAGTCTCCGCTATTGATGTGAAATCAGTGCCTGTACATCGCAAGTGATAAATGTTATCACACGAAATGCATAAGACCATTTTCTGAAGAACTTCATCCTTTCGTTCCTCTTCATTTGCTGTAAACCATTCACAACTATTTCCAATTGAGCACCTGACGTCGTCTCTGACTAAATCACATGCAAATACATAATTGTTAATTGACTTGCTGGAAGGATTCTTAATTCGATACGTTTCCTTCGCTTTTGGATTTCTTTTGAAGAATTCAGCTAAACTTCCATGACTTTCAGCACTCATTGTTTTATTCAATCTATTTAATTGTCTTTAGATTACTTGATACTTGCGTTACTTGATAACGACTTGATTACTGCGTTACTTGATAACGACTTGATTACTGCGTTACTTGATAACGACTTGATTACTGCTTTACTTGATAACCACTTGATGATTATTTAGTAATTGAATTATTGTTCCTTGCGAACAATTCAGTTTGATATCCAAAAAATGTGCTTAATTGTATCCAATAAATCCACAAACTTTATCCTTTTGTTGAAGAAACTGATTTGCGTTCTATAACGACTTATGCGCCTAGTTGCTGACGACTTTAAGGTTATTCCTCAAACAATTGATTTGCTTTGCTGGATGTTTACTGGATGTAATGTGTAATGCACACTGGATTGCTTTTAGCAATTCTTGTTGTATATATCTGACTTGCACAGATAAATACTGTATCTGCCTTGCGCAAATAAAATGCTAAATGATGAAAAGAAAGAAAAGAGCAAACTAATTACTTAATGCATCGACTTACTATCGATAACTGGAACTGAAGATTCTCTGCTTTCTGTTTAAGACTTCAAATGCGTATGGAGCTTCTTCTCGTTCACTTTAATAATCGTCTGGCTCTCAAAATTCTACTTTCCACAACACTTTTTAACCTCTTTTTAAATTTAATATGAAATTTTATGAAATTTTGAATTTCCAGTATTTATTCAATTCTAAATTGCACTGTTTGACTATTTATGTCTTTAACTAGCCACTGAGGTTATTTATTTAACACTTATTCGCGCCGAAACTTATTTTCACGTGTGAAAATTAAATGAAAAGATTTTCACGTGTAGAAATTTGTTGAAAAGATGTCGACGAGTGAAAAGTAACGTTCAAATTGTATCTAAAAATCCACTTTTCGTTTATTAATATTTCACAATGCGATTACTTGCTAATCGACTTCTTTATTTAATTAAAATAGTGATGAAAAAATGATGGGAAAAGATGGGAAAAGATGGTAAAAATTTTCAACAAATTTGTCCGAATATGCGACTTCTCCCCGCGACGTATTAATTTGAACTAATTCAAAAATGTTGAACGCATTCCGTTCAAAAAAGGAATTTGTACGGTTTTAGTATTTAAATCTCAAAAAACCGTTACAAATAAAGAATAAATTTGACGTGAAGCGTCTCATAAATCAATATGTTTCTTGTAAACATATTGCCCAAATGCTTTCAATTATATACCAAATTAAAGCTTATAACATAACAAATAAAATGATGTAAAATAATACGGTGGCATTATTCGGTATGAAATTATTAAGCTAACAATGTAAATGAAATTCATGAATTGTTTTAATGAATTTATAAAATATAGAAACTGTCGTTTGGCTTAACGACAATAGAGTTTCGAGGCCTTAAACTTGATAATCATTTTGAGTAATAGCCGTCATTTTTTAACAACCCCTAAAGTAAAATTCATTCTGGTCTTTTTTTATGAATCTGACATTTTCTATATACAGCTCATAAATGTTTGAAAGTGTTATTAAAAAATGGAACCGAAAAAGAACAGTGGAAATTTTCTTGGTTATGTTTTATTATGAAAATAAATGTTTTTTTTTGTAACTTCATATTGACTTTACTTTATTTTTATTAAGTAATAATACTCGTACGGTTCTTAAATTTTATTAGCTTTGTAACATTTTTAAATGCATAAAAGATTCTTTTTATCTTGGAAAATTAATCTTTTGCAATTCTTGTGAATTATCTTTAAATCTAGTACAAAAAATAAATAAGAGACAGTTTAAAATCAAAATTGTAACTTAGTGAATTGTAGTGAATCTAATAAATAAATGTACGTTAAAAGTGCTTTAAAAATTATCGTTTGTGTAACTTAAGTAATTCCATTTGCTTATTCTGTAATCTTGAAAGCATTAAAATTCTTGAAACTCTTAAATAGAACAATTAAAAAAAACAGTAAAAGAGGTGTATAATTACTGTTGCTACTCTTTCCCCTCTGACTTATCGAAACATGCAAAATGAAAGAATCTCTCATCACGACCGAATTCTTCTCCATCGAGTAATGTAACAGGAGTTTTTCTAATGTAAAAGAAATTTAAATGTGAAGAAAAAAAAGACATTTTTATAAAATTTATGAGTATTGTTATGCTTATGAAGGCGTGTGAACATGAAAAGTTTTAATGTCTAAAGGAAGGGATGAATATAAAATAAAAGTTTTCGTATTCCTTAATGGATGGCAAATTGCTCACCGATTTAATGTCTCAGGCAAGAAAAGACAGCAAAAAGCGCCAGCAAAGCTCAAGACACCAAGAATTAAGGATGGCATGGCCTTAAAAACGGTTGCCTAAAAGAGCGAAAGTAAAAGTTACTTCAACCGAAAAACAGTGACAAAATCTACATCTATGTTTTTATATGGATATACATACAGTGTAAAGAATATATGAGCTGAAAAACGTGAGAGCATATCCAGCTACGTGAGCTGCCGCCACCCCTTGCCCTCGTACGCATGTTGGAATCAATTCCGTCGCATATTGTGCTCCGCTGTTATATGCCATAGTTATACCAAATCGTCCTATAACATTCAATGTAGCAATGAGTAACTGATTCGACTTTTGATTCTCTTTCTGTTGGTATGCCAAAATTATTCCACATCCAGCTGTGAAAATTCCACTAACAAAAAGCGATGATGATGCCATTGCCTTTCTACCGATTCTGTCTTGAAGAGCTAAAATTACGAGACACGCAGGTAGAATGGCTGAGGCACTTAAGCTGAATAATATAAATGGTGACATCCCAAGTCCTTCGACATTCTTAGATATTGCATCATATCCTAGTGTTATGATCATTCTGGCGTTATTCATAAAGTTGTTGTTCATAAAAATCGGAAGGAGATAAAATTATTACTTTTAGTCATATAGTGCAAGATGGTGCCAGTCTGTTTCAGCAAGTAATTAAGTTTTGATTTTCGATTATCGAGCACATTAAAGGTTTAATAAATAATCACAAAATAACAGACAACTAAACCAAAAATTTAACAAAGAAATGGAGAAGCTATTTTATTCCAAGTTTTAAGAACAAGACTCATAAGATGTTTGATTGATGAATTTTAACGAATTAAAGTATAACTTCAAACATATTTCTTAAACATTAAAAAGCACTCAAAAGTTGAGTTCGTAAAAGTTTGAAAGAATTGTTTGAGCACATATTTTAATAAGTATTCCATGTAATAAAAGCGCCAAAAGAAGACATAAAAGCGGAAATAAATAACATAAAAATATTTAAATAAAATTTGAAAGAAAGATAAAGCAATCTTTAATATGAAGGAGCTTAGGAGAAATATTCTATTATCATAAAAGCACAACTATGCCACAATAAAATTCCTCTTTAATGTAACAGCGAAGGAGCAATTTAATCCGCTCAATTCAACTTACGATTTGAAGAAAAGGATCAGCGTTAATCTCCGCAATCTGGGTGTTTTGAATAAGGATATTAGAGATGGATTCTGCTTTTCATTCGATTTAATTCGATGTGCATTGATATCGAAAGCAACTGTTTTGAAATCAGCTATGAATTTCTCATCCAATTTTCGTCGATTGATTTTCGCAATTTTTTGGTAACAAATGAGAGCCTCGTTGAGTTTATTCTTTGATATTAGCCATTCCGCGGACTCTGGCACGACAAAATAAAATATTGGAATCACAAGTGTTGGAATAATTGTAGCCAATAAATACAATTTCCAATTTCCTAGCCAAACAGCTATCCAAGGCGACACAACAGATCCCAAACAATAAAATATGCCAATACACAAATTTAATCCGAATGTACGCATTTTTGGATCAATATATTCCAACACAAGAATATACATCATGACAAAATTGTTGTCGGTCGCCATGCCAGATATAAACCGACATAAAGCAAAGACAATTTCATTTGTGGCGAAAATTGTTAATCCATTACCAACGATTCCTAACATGTTTGCAATAATTAATACGGGGAGTCGTCCGATCGCATCAGCAAGAATTCCAAGTACTAATGTCCCAACAACACTTCCAATAAAATATGTAGATTGCCCAGTAATAGATTTCCATGTATTTTCACAGACCCAATTTAATTCACTCGTCATGCTTTGGTAGCCGAATAGCAAATCATAGTTATAGATCCATTTTTTACATTCTTTTTGACTTCGGGTTGAATTCGTATTTATTATACGCTCGAGACATCCTAAAGAATCATCATTTTTACACAATGATTTATCATATCCAATTTCTGCTTCTACACTATCCTTCATTATTAAGATCTCATCAATATTTGTACATGATGGTTTTGAGAACTGCAAATGATATGCCCTTCTATCATCCACAGACATGCTTGCTGTTAAATCCGAGTAGCACCTAAATTGTGTAGAAAAAAGTTTATTAAGCCTTACATAAGTTGACAAAAATGAAAAGGCTATAAACACATATATATATATATATATGTTAATATATAGACATAGTTAAACTAGGCTTTTAGAGGATACAATTTTAAGGGTCAAATCCTCTCTCAAAAATTGTCTGCCTACATATGGCTTCACACGACTTTACATGGTTTCACATTTCGTTATAAGGATCTTTTAATTTTTGTTTAGATTTTAAGCTCACGAAACTTTCTCGGTCAAGAAAAACAAAAAACCCCTGAATCATTGGCATCACTCAACTTCACAAACACTTCCATACAGTTTTCATTCTAGAGTCAAGAAGTGTGGGGGTTGCGTGTATATAATATTGAAAAGAATCTGTCTGATGTCTATTATTGTTATTAAAGGAAATCAGAAATAGCACAAAAACAAATGAGTATAAGATATTCTGAAATCAGACTATAAGTTATCATGTAGCAATCAACAGCATATATAAATTTACAAAGAATGAATGAAATTCAAGTCATCACACACGCTAATAACAAATTCATAACAAGTCATAATTTTCGTGTAGCTAACATGTGGTGTTACATATCAGACAGGCAAACTAATCACATTACATAGATATACCAGAAATTAAGGAGAACTTGAGAAAAGTTTAACGAGGATATTTGTAGATATTGTGAATGTAATGTACATTCTCGATACTTGCAGCTAAAACAGCATATGCTGCATCAGTTATAAGTTTTTTTTTAAAAAAAAAACCTATCCAAACAACCTCGCAAGTAACGTGGCAACCCGACATTCAAGCTAGGCATTGCGAGGTTTACAACCAATCATTTCATGAAATCAACTTTTACAAAGAAATCAACAGAAGGTATACAGGAATGGACTACATAATCGTCTTCTATTTATGAGAATCCTCTTCATTGAACGTAATTGCTATCAAAATTGTAATGCTTCTAGCTTTTCTTTTTTACTTCGAATGTCCTAAGAATGATTTAATGTCACATTTTGAAGAGGAAATTAGATGTTTGTTGTGCTTAATAAGTTGTCTGCTTGTCTGATAAATTTAAACTGACTGCCAAACTCAGGCCTTCTCGTAATATCAGATTTCCTAGCTAACCAAAAGAAATATTAATGTATTCCATGGAATATCCATTGGACAATGATTTCTCGAATGAAGATGGTAGATTAATGGACTATCCAAGTTTTCGATTAATACATATGAAAAACAAATGAATTACTTTTTTTTTGCAAACTTTTGTGAAATATATTGCAAATGTCAAATTTAAAACAAAATTTTTTAATTTTGTAAAAAATTACTTTTTATATTCACACCGTTTTCACGTGTGAATCTATTGGTTTTGTTCAGATTGAAAAATCAGTTTTTCGCATTTTGTGAGAAAACAAAGCAAAATTGGTTATAAAAGGTCACAGCAGAAAAGTTTGTGCCTAAAATTTTACATCATTTTCAAAAAACAGATTTCAAATTGGTTGTGGCATTGCTGAGAAAATCGCAAAATACGCTTTCTGTAAGCAAACAAGCAAGCAAGCAAGCAAGTTAATCAGCAAGAAATCTCAATAACGAGACATCGTAGAGACTTCTAGTTTTTTACATTTGATCCGTGCTGCTCTATAGAAGAACTGTATTGTTTTTGGGCAAGGTAGGAACAGCCGTTGCTTCAAAAAAAGCAAAAAACTTTCCTTTATTACAAATTTTTCAAATTAAAAGTTCACTGTGATTTTTTTTATTTTAAATTAAACTTTGGATGAAAAAAATTTTTTTGAGCAAAGAACCAAGAAGGAAATACATTTTCAATTTTGGACTAGGGGCGATTCTAGTCAAAATCAATTTTGTCACTTTTTTCTTCGAGGGTTTATCCAAATGGATTGAAACTTTGCATAAATATTCTAGTGCTTAAAACAAATACAAATAAAACATCCTAAAATTTTTTTGAGCAAAGAACCAAGTAGGAAATACATTTTTAATTTTGGACTAGGGGCGACCCTATTCAAAATCAATTTTGTCACTTTTTTCTTCAAGGGTTTATCCAAATGGATTGAAACTATGCATAAATATTTTAGTGCTTAAAACAAATACAAATAAAACATCCTAAAATACGCTCTCAAGAGATATACGCTCTCAAAAAAGCACATTCATCATCAAAAACCACATCAAAGCTTGATTTACTCATTATTTATTTTCATTTAACAAAATAATACTGCAATCCCTTATTCAAAGAAGTTTCGTGAAAAATAAGTTGCTACATCAAATAATGCTGTATGCGAGTAACAAAAATATTTTTTGATGAAAGCTAATAAACTTAAATATATGAAACATATGTTTTATATTGCTGAAGACAAAAATGAAGTTAGGAAAATAAAGAGCAAGAGCAACGAAATATAATAATAAGAAATATTAAAGGAACAAAATGCTGACTGAAATGATAAATTATAATGACCATAAAACCTTTTTTAGAGTGTGAGTAAGAAAAATATATTTTTAATAAATTATTAGTAAAATTATTTTTGTGCGATGGAATGATTTTAAAAGTACCATATTGCTCACGTGCGCGAATCTTAAACTTCCTTATAACGAAAAGAGTAATAAATAAACAAATTCAAGCTAGAAAATTTATTGGATTCCCTAACTTGTTGAATAAGTAAATAGGTGCTTTACAAATTTTGACTTATGTGAAATTTATGGACTAAAATCGCAATAAATTTTTGTCTCATAAGTTCATAAATATTACGACTTTATTTTTATGTCATTAACAACATTCCTTACCAATGTTCAGGCACGAAGCTGATGATTGTCTGAGAATAATAGTGCATTGACGACAATACATTAATTAAGCAGAAAAATCCAAGCAGAATTAATTGATAACGACCAAAGTTACCGCACTTTTCGAGTATTTGATCAATATCGAGTTTCTCACTCATTGCAATGCTTTTGGAGAAGCTGTACAATTTATATTCAGGACTTTCACGGAATGTTAAATTAATTTTACTCGTGCACAACTTTTTTCCAATAAATTTTAATTAAAGCACACAACTTTATGTTATTATTGTATATCACTCACTTCCAATTTTATTTCTATTCTGATCCACATAAAAGTCAATATAAATTGAATTATTGTTTTTGATTCGATTTCACAATTGGATGTTTATCTGCAATCACACCTATTATGAAAATTAATTTAATAAAAACATTTCTACAATATTATCCTAAGTAGGATATTTTTTTTCCTCTCTTTAATTAAGCAATAATTTATTCCAAAAATAAGGTAATTGGAATAATTAAGACACCAAATTTTTAAATTAATTTTTCCGGAAATTTAAAACCTCAAAACAACTAAACTTATTTAAAAAATGATGTTGGGTTTCAAATTTAAAATTTAAATAATTGGTAAAAAATTTCATTCTCTTTGACATCTCTTTTTTAATTTTAATACAACTTACGCAATCTCAACTCCCAAAAATAAATTAAATTTTTTTGTCATTAATTTAAAGCATCCTCAAAATTTAAGGGAATATGAGCATAGCTCTTAAATTCGTTTAATTTTATAAGCTGCTCCAATTGAAACACAAATCCTCCTATAACATTAGATTACAGCATCAGCACGCAAATATATAAAAAAAGACTCATAAATTTTAATTAAAAAATAATTAAAATGAGTATTAGACTTGAGGAAAAAAGTTGATATACTGAGAGTCTGATCAAAAAAAAGTTTATATTAAAAACCAACTGTAAAACTTCAACATTTCACGGAAAATTTTGAACAACTGAAACAAAGTTTATTTTTTACGTGACAATAAGTTTTGAAATCTTGTTGCATACACAGATGATTTCTTATTTATGGTAAATTCTATTTGAAATTCTATAGGCCATAAAATATAGTTATTCGGCTGTATTCTGACGTAAAACTTTTCACTTGAAAAATTTGATTTATAACTTCATTAATGGGTACGTGCGCAGGCATATTAAACTCAATTCAATCTCTTTTTGACAACAAATTCTATTATTCTATAATGGTGAAAAACATTTTTAACAAAAACAATATTAATTAAGATTTAATATGGGTTATAAAAATCAAAGCATTGAAACTTACCCAAATTACACCCACTAAAATACCAAGGGTCAGACACTCCAACAGAATTGTAAGGATTGTACAAGCCTTACAATCCCTACAATCCTTTTCATATAAGAATTGTAAGGATTATACAATTCCTACAATCTTTCTATATAAGGATTGTAAGGATTGTACAATCCTTACTAAGCAAAAAATAATGGTCATTTATTTTTAAAAAATAAAATAAAATACGAAAAATTAAGAAAAACAGTCAGAAATTTCTTTAAAAATAATTAAATTTAAAATTACAGAGTTGCTAATAGAGTCACATATTGTTATGATGTATATATCTATATATTCTTATATTTTATCCCTGCACAATATGTAAAAACACACAATAATTTACTGTGTATCAATTCGAATGATTTTTTTTATACATTTTAACTCATTAAAAAGTTGTAAAAAGTATAATTTTTACACCTGTGAACAGGGTGAGTGATTTAAATCAAAAATCAAAATCAAAATCTTTTTGCAATGATTTTTAAAAGAAATTTTGATTTAAATCATTTTTGTATGGGGATTTTTTTGGGATTTTGATTTAAATCTCTTGTATGAGAGATTTTATTATTTGCTTGGATCTAAAAGATCCAGTTGCAAGATTCTGGCCAAAAAAGGATCAACTGCATTCTTACTTATTAGGAACTACAACTGAAAACTGATAATTTGAAAAATAATTTGCGAAATTGAATACAAAAATTTTACATGGAGGGATTTTAATCTTTTGTGCCTTGATCGAACGAAAGGAATCGGCCAGTTCCGTAAATAAAAATTTTGACTTCAAGAGGTGAATTCTTGATGAAAAAGCAACAAAAATTTTTTGTAGATGTAAAGGAACTAGGCAGTTCAAGTGCCTATTCTTGCTTATGACTCATTAAACTAACGTACTGTAATAAACGATATTTAAGTTTTTGAAAGCTTTGAAAGCACTGAAAGAAGGTAAATCCTCATATGAAGTAAGATCCAGGCATGCTTGATGAAGTCCAGTTATCATGAATTGGATTTCGTTTAAGTCAAATAGCATGGAACCATTGGTTGCTGTAACCTTTATTAAACAAATGATTAGATCTAAAAGATCCAGTTGCAAGATTCTGGCCAAAAAAGGATCAACTGCATTCTTAATTATTAGGAACTGTAACTGAAAACTGTTGATTTGAAAATAAATTGAGAAATTGCATACAAAAATTTTGTAGCGAGGGATTTAAAATCCTAATAAAATCTTTGATACAAGAGATTTAAATCAAAATCCCAAAAAAATCCCAATGAACAAATGATTTAAATCAATATCGAGAAAAAAAAATCTCTTTGAAAAAATGATTTAAATCAAAATCCTTTTTTAAAAGCATTGCAAAAAGATTTTGATTTTTGATTTAAATCACCCTTGTTATAAGTGAAAAAATTGATATATCAAGCTTATTTCGTTATTTAAATTCAAACAAATAAATTTTTAAAATTAAATTCATATTTCTTCTTTAATAACCTATGAAATTTTTTTTTTAAATGTTCCATACAATTTTCATCCTTACAATCCTTATATGGAAAAGATTGTAAAGATTACAATCCCTACAATCCTTTCCATATAAGCACTAAATGCTTGAAGAAATAAACATTGAAATTAAAATTCATTCAAGTGGGAAAAATCTAATTAAGGTAACGTTTTGGAAGTGAAATAAAATAATATTTTAAATTAATTTTATTGTGGATATCGGGAAAATGTCTCTAATAGAGATGTGTTCTCTCCAGTTACAATCTATCATGCTGCAATAATACATTTACAGATTTATTGTAGTAAAAATGAGTACTGGATGGAAATGAAATGAACAAGAAGAAGGAAAACAAGTACTAATTGAGTTATAACACTTTTTCATAACTGTTTAGCTTGACAACTCTATTAAGATTAAGATTTGAATGTTTAAGAGCCAGAAGAAAATTTCAGATGGTAATTATTTTTCTTTCATGAAAATGCATGTTTGGGTTAATTATATACAACATTGATGGTCAACCCATGTGTTGGCGAAAAAATTCGGAAATTCCTACGAACCGTATGCCGTGTGCGATTTTGACTTACCATAAAGGTGTGAATTAAATTATTAAAATACTTCTTTACTTTCTCTTAAAATACTCAGGGTTAAATATCAAAAAAAGGAGCAAAAAATATTGAGAATGAGCTGATGTAGACAAAAAAAAGTTAAGCAAAAAAATTCATAAAAAAATTAATCATCAATATTTTTCTATGCTTCACAATAATTCTAAGAACTGCTGATTTAAGTTAAAATGTTAGATATCATTTCTGAATTTAAGTTAATATAAGTATAGACATATTATATGAACTTCATGTATACATAGTACTGTTAAGTACTTAAAATTTCAAAATCTTATCAAAAATATATTTTTAAACCCTAAAAACTACCCGAAAAGATTATGTGTCAAAAACTTCTTACTTAATTTTTCTGATTTTTTGCTATATGAAATTTCAATAAGAATTACTTAATTGTACGTTTTATTTTACAACCTGAAAACTATCATCAACAATGTCAAAGTTCTTCAATTACCCAACTTTGTATTTAAAAATTTTCAACATGATCGATTTACGAGATTAATCAAGTTTATAAACTTTGGAATTAACTACATTTTTAAATAAATTTGATTCTCCATTCATTGGAAATTTTTCCGCATCAGAAATTGATTTGAACTTGCTAAAAGAGATTTAATTTCACATTCAAGCAATAAAATTTCATTAAGAAACATTAAACAAAATGAAACCATTTATACATTTTTTTCAACTGAATTGTACTGCTCTATAAAGAAATTTGCTCAATACTTTTAGATTGCTGTAAGTACTAGTTGGGAGATTACCATTCTTCCTTGCTTTATTCTGAATGATAGTCAAATATATTTTTGAAAGAAAAATTCTCGAGTAACACAAAAAATCACATTGAATTTGATTATTATTGTTGGTTTGATAATCACAATGTTTATTTATTAACAAGATTATTTAAAAACACCTCACTGTTTAATATAATTAATAAAGATGTTTATTGTTCGACGATTAGAAACAGACTAAATAGTTGTATCAAGGTTCAACTATACAAGGGGAAGATAAACTAATTATAGTTGCATATATAAATTGAATATTAAATAACCGTTCATAAATTCTCAATAATTATATCCTGAGCGACTTCAAACCTTAAAGTTTTCATAATATTTTGTTCTTATTACAAAACTTAATAGTTATCTTTCCGTAACTTTTATTAAAGAATAATGAAGAAAAAATGGCTCATATCAAATCTCAAATTAAAAGCGTGACAAAAAGTGATAAGTCTGATAAATTAATCAAGCACTGTTGCATTTAGTTTTCCAACTTCCGATTATCATTTTGTAATTATTTTTATTTTCGCAAAATTATCACTCAATTTTTTCATTACTACCAATACACGTGACATAAATTATTAACGATTAAATCGAAAATATAACTTAAATTCTTTTAATTTTATGCTTATCATTTGCCTATTAACTTGCCTTTTTCTGTTAAATTTCCATCACAATTGCTAAATTTTCGCAAATTTTCAATTTTCCGTGCACGTTTCCGATTGAGTGCAAACACTCCGATGGCAAATTCTGAAGCAAATCAATCTTCACGTTTGACTCGGTTACTACACATATTATTTTTTCAATGGGAACAAAAAACTCATATCCCATTTAAACTAATCCCATTATAAAAATTTCATGACAGAAAGTTTGAAATGCAATTGATTGTTAATTAAAGAATTTGGGTCATACTCTTCATACTCTTGTACTTTAATTTTAATTACT